ACTGCCGGTGAACGGGGAGGTGAGAGAAGGGGTGGGGGGTGCTGGTACGCACCTGAAACAGGAACAACAGAAAAAAAACCATCGAAAACATACTGTTTGCCACACAAAAACGACCCTTTCCATTCAGCGCGCAAGTACGACCCCCTCGCTGGGGATCCTATCGTGCGAGGTGCCTTGCTTTTCATACCAATTCTGCGGGGAACTTTTACCAAAAATCACCAACGTGTTCAACGTTACAACAAATACAAAATAAATATGAACAAATTTTATTGTTATTCGGAACTTGAACAGTAACATATTGACGTGCTTCTCTCTCTCAATAGATTTCCACTGTAGACGTACATGACGGCGATGACGACCATTTCGATGGACGATATTCGTGGTGGGATGATCTTCGGCGGCTTGGCGGAGCTGGATGATGGACGATGGTGAACGAACTGGTTGAACGGCGATTGTCAACACGGCATGTCGTTGGGTCGAAGATGATGAGATCTCTAGGGATCATTCATGATTCAAATCGATTAAGCTGCATTTGATAATCATCCGTTCTCTCTCTTTTTCCATCATTAACTCCATTCCATGCGCTGCCAATCGCTAATATCGCGTCCATACGACTATCGATGAACGGACACTGTTGAAAACAACACATACAATTAAACACATAAAATTATGAAATAGAATTAAATGAAGGCGCTAAAAGAATAGAAAAAAAACAACGACGCCTGATGTTTGGGACGGTATAGTACAAACTATGGAAAAAGAAACGGTTATGCCCAAACTAAGATACTCGGAATAGGCGGGTACACGGCGACAGAATATCCATCATATGGTGGTACCCAAATAGCCAGCCCAATTAACGACGAGTTTTTTCTTTCTCCCGTTCTTTTTCACGTTCCTGCTCCTTTTGTTCTCGCTTTTTCTTCTCCGCTAGTAACTTTTCTTGTCGTTCTTGGGCCTGAAATGAATTCATTGCAGTGGGAAGCAAGGCTTCGTTGAACTTCTTGTATGAGGGAACTACACATACTCTGGCAGTACATGAAAGTAAAAAAAGGGAGTAAGCATTCATTACGCAGCGTGCTGTGCTCTGAGGCAGCGTTCAGACTTGTAGCGCTACAACTGTAGCGCTACGATCGTCGCGCTACAGCTGTCGCGCTACAGCCGTCGCGCTACAGCTGTATCCAGCTTCCTTTTATATTTTTCTTTCTGAATTCAACCCTCTTTTGCCATATTTATCTGATGCTGAGCTCTTTTCTACTTTACCGCATTTTTTACCACATTTTAATAATGGAATGAAAACAATTTCGCAATCGGGATCAACACGAGGCACCAATGCAAGACATCGAGCAAAGAAATCAAACATCAGTAGCAACCCTAAAACCAAATAGAGTCGGAAACGAAAATAAAACCAATTATCATAGTGCTCTGTATCAAAAACTATATAAAAATGTGATAAAAAATGTGGTAAAGTAAAAAAAAACAGGAGCTCAGCATCAGATAAATATGGCAAACAAAGAGAAGATGGTTAAATTCAGAAAGAAAAAATATAAAAGGAAGCTGGATACAGCTGTAGCGCGACGGCTGTAGGCGCGACACCACCCCAGCCCGGTAAGCGCTACAGTTTTGTAGCCTACAAGTCTGAACGCTGCCTGATGAATGGGCATGTAAGGTGGGATGGGTTTTGCGCGGCGCCAAAGCCGCCCCCCATCGGCTATCGAAGCTGGGTAAGCGACAACTGGTGGAAAACGGGCTGCGCTGCGCTAAACCCATACCGCATTGACACGCCCCTTCAGCAGCAGCAACCAAGACTGTACATAGTCCACATTGCGTTTCGGCAACCCAACTTGCGGGCATGTTGTGTGATACTGCTATGCCCTTACCTCCGAGGACAGTCCCTGCTATGCGATATATAACGTTTCGACAGCGGTACATGTGTGACAAATTTAACCCTTGAAAGCTCGCAGAAATAAAGCTGAAGGGTAACGTGGTAGCTCGTTGCAAATTTTCAACCCCCTATCCTTGAGGTGGAGCACTTATGCCGATAGCACACGACCGCAGCGATGATAAAGTTGTGGAGAAAAAGCAGAGGTGAGAGAGACACAGACGAGTAGCGCGGTTGGCTATGGTGGCAAGAGGCCGGCGCTGCAGCGAGTGTTTAGTCGGCGCCGGCATGCTTTGGACATGGAAGAATAGGAGGATACACATTGCCTAGCACAGACTGGTCAGCACTCTTATTCTTTCTACACTCCGCAAAACGACTAGCGGATCGGTGCCAAACGATAGCCACCAATGGCAATGTTCCCTTAGATAGTAGTGCAGCGTGGCTGCAATGCACTTCACAGCGAGTCGACGCGCGTCATGCGAAGTCTGAATGCTGCCTTAGAGGGAATAGAAGTAGAGTAGAACACTACACAGTTTAGGCGTTCACGTACAAGAGCGCGCTCATACTGCCCAATCTATGCACGCAGCTTGAAAAACGAAATAAGGCTTTAACTAATCCAAAATGAGGAAAGGAGCTGAGATCGTAAAGCACTCACCTCCTCGTCAGTCAAGGGCAGAAAATAGATAGCAGGTAACGTTTTAGTCTTCATGAATAACTCGTCAGCTGTTTTCACCGGTTTTTCTGGTTCTGGCTCCTTTTCAGGCTCCTGATGTCGATTGCTAGTCCTATCCTCGTCGCTACGCCTTCTTTCGCGATCGTGATCGCGGTCGCGCTCACGACCACGACCCCTGTCGCGTTCCCGGTCACGTTCGCGATCACGCTCGCGATCACGTTCTCGCTCGCGTTCTCGTTCGCGCTCCCGTTCGCGTTCACGGTCGCGGTCACGATCGCGCGGAGGCTCCACGTCTCGCCGTTCACGTTTTTCTAGTACTGCGCGACTAAACGGTGGGGTTTCTGAACGTTGTCGTTTCCTGTCGTTATCGTCCTTCCTCTGAAAAATGCCTCACTTATCAATCTCATAAGTAAAACCAGAAATAAAAAAACTTCAGGCGCCAAAGTAGTTAGTGGGAGAGGAGGGAGTAGGACCACTTAACAGCGCTATTCTCCCAAATCAAGCTTTGCTTAGAGCGCAGACGACCAGAGTCGCCGAGAGATAGAGCAGAAAACAATCCCCACTAATCTCGCCTTAAGTAGAAAAGGGAACTGCGAGTGGCCCTCTTCATTTCCTCGTTAGAGGCAAGCTGAGCTTTTCTGCCTAGTAACCGTGCGAACCCTGTGATCGCGCGTGATGACAGGGCATTTAGGTGGGATGGTTTCGCGTGCTCCAAAGCTCGATCTCACGTGTTATTGAAACGGCCCTCTGAGGCCGTAAACAACAACTGGCGGGGAAAACGGGCTCTGAAGCGCCAAATCCATACCGCGTGACACGCCCCTCACACGCAGCGAATGCGACAGTCCACATTGTGTTCCGGCAACGAACTTAAGGGCACGTTGGGCGATACTGCTGTGCACGGTCCCTGCTATGCGATTTATACTAACGAATTCGGCAGGGTATAGTGTGACAAATTTAACCTTGAAAGCTGCGGCAGAATAAAGCTTGAGGGTAACGTGTAGCTCGTTCGCAATTTTGACCCCCTTCCGTGACGCTGAGCACTTATGCGATAGCGACAAGACCGCAGCGATGATCGCCAGTTATAAATGTGAGAACAAAGCAGACGTTAAAGGCGCACAGACGCAGTAGCGCTCCTCGGCTATGGGTTGCAAGGTTACTGACAACTGAAACGATTGGTGGGGATCCCTGCACGATAGACCAGAGCGCCTCAGGCAATAGAGACTGCTCAGAACAAGGGCGATCGTGAGGACGAAACACGATGCCGAGCAGGACAAGAGCTGTTTTCGAGGGGAGGGGTCAATTCAGGGTGGATGAGCCCACTTACTATGCGTGAAAGGTTGGAATGTGAATGGTCAAAGTGGCCATAAATCGCAATCCAGGCAAGGGAGCGCAGAGAAAAAAAGAATGTTAGCGCCATTAAAGGGATTGGGTTTTAGCTGCCCGTAGACCGACGGCAAGAGGCTGGCGACGCTGGAGCGAGTTTTCAGTCGGCGCCGGGATACTTTGGACATGGAAGAATAGGAGGATACACATTGCCTAGCACAGATTGTACCTCTTCTTCTACACTCAAAACACAGTCGATCCGGTGCCGATCGATAGCCACCTTATGGCAAGTTTCCTCAGATAGCAGTGCGGAGCGCCGCTTGCAATACGCTTTACAGCGATGTCGACGCGCGTCATCGCGAAGTCTGAATGCTGCAGAAGGAATAGAAGTAAAGTAGAACACTACACAGTTTCTAGCGTTCACGTACAAGAGCGCGCTCATGCTGCCCAATCTATGCACGCAGCTTGAAAAACGAAATAAGGCTTTAACTAATCCAAAATGAGGAAAGGAGCTGAGATCGTAAAGCACTCACCTCCTCGTCAGTCAAGGGCAGAAAATAGATAGCAGGTAACGTTTTAGTCTTCATGAATAACTCGTCAGCTGTTTTCACCGGTTTTTCTGGTTCTGGCTCCTTTTCAGGCTCCTGATGTCGATTGCTAGTCCTATCCTCGTCGCTACGCCTTCTTTCGCGATCGTGATCGCGGTCGCGCTCACGACCACGACCCCTGTCGCGTTCCCGGTCACGTTCGCGATCACGCTCGCGATCACGTTCTCGCTCGCGTTCTCGTTCGCGCTCCCGTTCGCGTTCACGGTCGCGGTCACGATCGCGCGGAGGCTCCACGTCTCGCCGTTCACGTTTTTCTAGTACTGCGCGACTAAACGGTGGGGTTTCTGAACGTTGTCGTTTCCTGTCGTTATCGTCCTTCCTCTGAAAAATGCCTCACTTATCAATCTCATAAGTAAAACCAGAAATAAAAAAACTTCAGGCGCCAAAGTAGTTAGTGGGGGGAGGAGGGAGTCGGACCACTTAACAGCGCTCCGTATTCTCCCTAATCAAGCTTTGCTTAGAGCGCAGACGACCAGAGTCGCCGAGAGATAGAGCAGAAAAGGCGCAATCCCCACTATTCTCAGCCTTAAGTAGAAGAGGGAACCGCGAGTGGCCCTCTTCACCTCCTCGTTAGAGGCAAGCTGAGCTTTTCTGCCTAGTAACCGTGCGAACCCTGTGACGCAGACAGATGAAGGACAATCGCCGTCAAAGCACCGATAGGTGCAAAACGGCATACGGCCATGCAGGTGATAGGCTTTTCCAAGGGGAGGGACGGGTCAGACACTTATCGCGCGTGAAAAGCTGGAGTGTGTAAGATGACAAGATCCTGCAACGACATGTAGACGAGAAGGTGCAGAGAAAAATAGAAAAATAAAGCTCATATTGTCGGTAGACCCCCCTATCAGCGCCGAATTTCAACCCAAAGAAAACTTACAGCTGCATGCTTGTCTTCGGTGTGTTTTTTCTATTTTTTTTCCACCTTGTCTTCTTTTTCCTTCTCC